CTACTCTCAAAGTGTGGTAACGTGGTGAGCACAAACTAATGTTGTGCAGAATGATTACTTTTGTGGTATTCACATACTGTATTTGTATGTATATTTACAGATACAGTACACATACATCTAATGTTACATGTAATGCTGAAAACATGAAATGAGGATAAGTCAGGTGGAATGGCATTGGAGTACTGTTTTCAGTTAAGTGAGATAATTTCTGGAGTTATATTCTGAACACACCATCTTTATTGTCATAGCTCCATGTCACAGCACCTAGCTAATAGCAGGTACTCAAAAAAATGTTCATTGAATGAAATGAGTTGTTTGTAGCAGGGTAAAAAAGGTAGTAGGAAGAGACTAGCATGAGCAATGTCTGAGATTAGTTAAATATTTCAAAAGGTTTTAGTCTAGGAAAATTCCAGAGACCCATTGAAGAAACAATAAGTATTTAATGGAGCTAGGACGTATTTTTACAACCTTGACAATACTTTAAAAACAGCTGTACACTATCTTGTTTTCTCTCTCCTGGCTGCTGCTCCTGGGTAGACTGCATCCTGTTCGTAGGAGACACTGTCCTTTAGGTAGAACAGAAATGTGAAACCAACTTGGCAAAAACCACAAGATTACATAGTTACCAAATAGTACTTACTGGCTCCCTTTCTAGAATGAACGGTTGTTTTGATATGTTTGTCAATAGATGCCAGTATTTATTTCTTTTGAAGGCTTGATATTTAATCAATGCCTGTAAAGTAGCACTATCTTTTTACCAGCATCATAATGAAATTTTTCTTTTCTTTAACCTTTAAAAATTTAGAAATTCTACAGTCTTTGAAATCTGTACATGGTTACTTTGGACATTCATACAGTAAACAGCAAAGACTAATTTTACTCTGGTTTTTAGAAAGATGAATATATAGAAAAAGATAATAGGTGAAGTTGGCCAGCATATTCAAAATACCTTTTGTTTTCTTTTTATTTAAAATCAGTCTACTCTTATATTTGAGGCATAGTAGTAGTCAAATCATAGGACAGAAAGTCTCTCCACTACCTAGGATAACATTAAACTTCCAGTTATGACAATAATTAAGCTGAGTTGGTAGAATAGTATTATCTTCTAATGTCTGAAACAGGTCTCTTTATGAGGACATCTGTAATTCAAGATCCATGGTGTCTGTTATATATCATTAAAGTGATGTCAGCTGAGCTGTTGAAAAGTCCTATAGAAAGAGCAGGTAGGTTGAAGGTCCTTTCTATGGAGGTCCCTTTAGTAAGTGCTCTCAGTCTGATTTCAGCAAATAAAGAAGTCATCTGTATGACTCATTGGAAAGAGGCACATATCAAGGCGATCCAAAATTGCCTTTCTTTGTACCTATATGGTTCATACTAACATGTATGAACATACCATTCAACGTTTTATCCCTAGTTCCTTGCACAGCCCCTAGTAGGTATTACTTGTTTCATGAGTATTTGTAGAACAGACGAGTAAATGATTGACTTTGTATTAAGCTAGAACTTTGGGATATTCTTAATGTCAAGGCCTTGAACTCCTTTCCTTTTCTTGGGAACTACGAAGTGTACTATATCTGAGCTCATAATCCCGGTTTTGAGTAGCAGCTGTATTTCTGTTGTTTTGTTACCTAGTTTACTCGTTATGATAAGTAAGCTACTAGTTGAGGAAGGTATCCAGTATCATTTCTCAGGGAAGAGGCAGCCAGAGGATGAAATGAGTACTTTTCATTTTCCTTCCCAAACAGAATACTTGGGGTTGGGGTGGGGAGGAATTTGAAAGAACCAAAGGGAGATATTAGCACCAGGAGCATTGCGGTAAGTCATTTTGTAGTGTATTAATTTAATTTTCAGTGAGCCTTGGATCAGGCAGGACAGACTTTTGACAACCATGAGGGCATATGTATGTATGTTTGCAGTTCAGGGAACAGCCTGTGAGGTGGTCAGCTCATGGGAGCTGGGTGTGCCCAAGTGAGGTTAAGATAGAGGGGGGAAGGAAAGAACTGTGAAGTGCTGCCATACCACGGCAATGGAGTACAGCATGAAAACGCTGTTTAAAGTATCATGCTAATAAACTAAGGGTTGTAGAACTTCATACTCGGAGAGGTTTTAATGTTATTATGAGACAGTTTCTCTAACCTCACTCTGTCTTTTTCTTACCTCAGCTGTTCCAAAGACCTAACGCGCTTGCCGTCCAGCAGTTGACAGCTGCTCAGCAGCAGCAGTATGCACTTGCGGCTGCTCATCAGCCTCACATTGGTAAGTCCTGATGCCTGTCGCCCCCATAGGACAGCTGTGGCTACCATTTTAGGATAGTTGGCCGCTATGAAACCCACTAGTGTAGACTGATTATAACAGTCCACACAGGTCCCTGAAAGTAAATGACCTTTTCCTCTCATCCAGATGTCTTAGCCACAGTCTTTATTTTTGACATTTCTAGACCTAAGGTTTCTTAGCATCCAGCTGTTGTTCTACCTCAGCTGTTTTAGGGTCAGATTTTTACTAAAGAAGAGACTAGCATCAATTCTGTTGGTGAGATTGGATGAAATCAATTACATAATGATAGTTTTGTCCTTGATTGTATTGTATAGATGGGGATCGTATAACTTCTCCTTAAGTAGCAAGTAGGATCTATAAATCCACTTGCCAAACAGCATGTATTGAAAAATTTTAAATGTATTCTCATATAATTACTGTTTTTTAAAGGAGCTTTGCCCTTTTCCTATGGTGATTGTTCATGTTTTGATACACATATTTTTGTCTTACTCCATAGACCACCCCTGTACCTTTTAAGAGTCTCTTTGAGTCAAAGTGCTGTTAAGCGTAAATAAGTATAAGTAGAAACAAATTTTCTTTTTAATGTGTCAAGATGACATGGTTGCATAGAAAGGAGATTGCCAATCGTAGATTATGATATGCTGTGGAAAAAAAGACATACTTCCAACCTAGATACAGTAAGACCAGACATAAAGGCCTTGGCCTGGTTTGATTTATAGTTGTAGGAGGTAACCTTTATTAATACCCATACTTTTTTTCTTTTGAGGAAAACTGCAAAATTATTTTAAATGGAAAATAAATCCTTCCCTCCATCCCATCACAAAATCTTATAAATTGCTTTATTTTAGCTGTTAACATTTTAATAGTCTTTTAGAAATTGTGCTGAATTTAAAATTGTATAAGCTTTAATTGTAATTCTTTAGCTAAGATTAAAAAATGATAGGTAAAACCTTGTCATAATATTCAGTAGAGGGATTATTTTATCTCTTTTTATTAAAGTATCATTGATAATACAGTCTTGTGAAGGTTTCACATGAACAACATTGTGGTTTCAACATTCACCCATATTATTAAGTCCTCACCTCCCTCATTGCAGTCACTGTCTGTTAGTATAGTAAGATACTGTAAAGTCATTACTCGTCTTCTCTGTGGATTATTTTATCTTTTAAAAATGTCTCTCTTCTCTTAACCTATCCTATCTTCTCTTTTTGGTAGGGCTGCAGTTGTAGTCAAGTTTGTTTTTACTGACAGGTATGTTTTCAGCAGGTTTAGCTCCTGCTGCGTTTGTTCCCAATCCTTACATCATCAGTGCTGCTCCCCCAGGGACGGACCCCTACACAGCTGGATTGGCTGCTGCAGCAACACTAGGTAAGACATTCTGCTGCATGAGGGATTTTCACACCTGCTACAAAGTGGTTTTGATGGGCATGCTTTCTTGATACTCTTGCAAATCCATGTCACCAGTGGATATTTCTCTCCTGATTTCCAGTGCTGTCTACCTGCCAGCTGGATATCTCTGCTTAGCTGTAACCTCAGGCTTGAACATATCCAAAGGCAAATTAATCAGCTACCTCCTGTATAGGTATTTTGGTGGATCATGGAGCCACCATTGCTCTTATATATTGTGGGAACTTCTCCCCTTGCCCAGGTTTTTCTGCTACCTCTGGTCTACCACAGTCCAGGCCCTTAAACTCTTTACCTAGACTTTTGTAGCTGTTCTCTTTTACATATTTTTAATTTCCTTTCTTCTCCACTCTCCTTAACCCTCTAAATTGTACAAGAACACTGTATCAAATACAAATCTTACCCTTTCACCCTTCTGCTTAAACCGTTCATAGATGTCTGTCTTACCTACCCTCATACAGCATATACTGCAGTAATTACCAAACATGGCTGATCATTCCAACCTAATTGGGTGATAGCAGTGGTGGTGGTGGTATGTTGTTCCTTGGAATCAGTATTTTTAAGGAACTGCCATAGCATTGTGAGGATTGGGACCCATTGTACATAGGGATTTCTGCATGATTTTTTTTATGTGTGCACCACTTTCTCTTCCTCCACATTGGCTACCACTGGCTCACACCATACATTCTAACAATACTAAACCAACTTTAGCTTGCCGTAGGTACAACACTGATTTAACGCTCTGTATCTTTGGACACTGTGGTCTTTGTCCTCTGTAGTGAACTCTTCCCATTCTTTGCCTGGAAAGCTCCTTTGCTGGCATTGTCCACTGCAGAAAACCTTCCTTTGTTAACCCTTCCCTTTTCTTTGTCTATTACTTGTTATTGCTTTATATTTGCTTATGAATGTGTACATGAGTGGGGCTTTTCACTCCCTTGAGACCCAATTCTTTCAAAGGTAGGCACTTGTTGTGTGATTCTTTGTGGCACAGTTGCTATCACCATGTTGGGTCATAAATGTATGGTAGATTGAATTCAACATTAGGACAGATAAAGTGTCATCCAAAGTAATATTCTTTGGGAACAGATCCCTCCAAGTCATGTAAATCATGACTATTAGGAGATCTTACTTATTATAGAGCATGTAATCTGTAATTATGAACTCACATTCAGTATAGAATGTATTGTTTTCTTTAGAACTATTTGCATTTTGGCATGGGTTGTGATGTGAACATAAATAGTATAATTCCTCTGGGCCCCTAGCCTTTGGGGAAATAGAAGGTTCTTCCTAGCAGAATGGTCTTTGCTAACCACATTAGTATTGAGCCCTTTTTAACTGTTTTGCAGGCATTGTACTGTTTCTTTCACTTGTTGGATGATGGTTTTACAGATTGGAGTTGGGCTGAGAGAGCTGTCTTTTTGAGGTCACACAATTTGAATGTTGTAGAGTTGGGGGTTTGAACCAGGTCTAACTCAAGGCCCGTACATGCACTTCACTTTGGCATACAATGTCCATGTTATCCTGAATTGTCTTTTCTATACTTTCTTCCCTCTACTAAGTTACTTTCCTCTACTAACTTAACTGTATGTTATTTGAAACAAAGAACTAGTCTCAGGGATGACACACTTGTCCTTACTGATATCATAGTTTGGTGATGAGAATATTGCTTTTTGTATTCATCAGCTGAGCCAGAGTGAAAATGACTTAATTTCACACAGAATTGGAAATGTTAACTACCCAAAGTATGAAAGTGCATATTCTTTTGGAGTGTTAATCACACAGGAATTGAAGCAGGCATCCTGTTGAGCCAGGCTCAGTTAATGATGCACCCTTGGGTATTTTCCTAAAGTCAGTCTTAGGCCAAATGACTGGAGAAAGTAGTAGAAATCCCAGTTGAGAAAATATAAAAGATAGCATAAATGTTTGTGGGAATACCTGTCTGTGCACAGTAGACATTTGTTTTGTTGCCTTTTGTGGAAACATTGCTGCTGTCATTGCAGTTGCCACTTAACTTTTCATCAGAGAGTGGCAACACCCTACCACTTACTACACACCCATTTTGCAGATGAGGAAACTAAGGCTTGGATAGGGTCTTTGTTGTGTTGTCTCTTTCATTCTTTTCTTTAACTGCTCAAGACCACCCCACTTTATAAGTAGTCAGAAAAGTTTGGGGGCTCACCATTCTCTTTAACTTGGAGGTATGGTTTTTTAGACTGTTCAGGTTCTAAGTTAAAAGTTCTTTAACCCATTTGCTTATTATGAAAAAAATAGCTTTTCTAAGCAGTGCCTTTATTTTGCACCCACATACAGTGTTTCATAGTGAGCACCTTTATAAACAGCTTCTTGATCCTGGCTAAGCCCACAGATAGAGAAAATACCAAATTAGAAGTGTCAGAGCATTATTGAACAGTGATATAATTTGACTTAATTGTGTTTTAGAAGCTTAAAATATGGAAACAAAAGGTGTACCAATTTATTCTGACTTGAAGTATATGTTGCTACAAGACTAGCTACTATGTCAGAATAGATGTATTTGAAACAACTCTTTGGAACTCCATTGAAAGGTGAGGTTATCATTCAGTCAAGGTGCAGATATTTTAAACTGTGCTTTTACTAAGCCTTTGTCTTGGTGGGCAAATAGGCAGCTTTGGTGTTTTCTTGCCACCACCTTCATAGAATCATGTGGTTGTAACTTTTGCCACACCCATGTTGCTGTCTGTATAGCTCTGCTACCTCTCTGATGCCTACTTGTACGGCAGAGACTGCAGCTGTAGCTTGTTGCCAAAGATGAACAGATAATTTAGTTCAAAGCAGAATGATTTTTGTTTAGTATACTCAACAGGTCTATAAGAAGTCAAGGTGTTTTATATTTTTTGTTTTCAATCTTGACTTAAATTTAAAATTTCATATATCAGTGTTTGAATGTAGTTGTGTTGAATGACTTTTGTGACTTTTAAGAATAGAAAGAGGAAAACCAAGCCTCTTAGGAATTGAGCAGTGGAGGTTCTAGAGTGTCTGGGGTTTGTTGTCAAAAGACTTGATGGATTTTCATGCTTTTGGAATTAATGAAGCACCAGGATCCCTGTCCCTGTCAGTCAACTCAGGTGCCATCCTTACCGCCAAAAGCAGGGTACAACTGAATCTTTAGTTCTGTTCCGTCACAGTAAGTACACAAACTTTCCATTTATTTCCCTTCTAACAACAACCTTTGCCTATATCTGTCTGTTCTATATCCGTTCTTTCTCAGGGGAAAAACATGCCTTTGCCTTCTTGCTGACCAAGGCCGGTTCCTCCATCTGTTCTTAAACTATCCCTTCCAACTTCTATCAGTTTTTCTCTCTTTTGATATCTGCAGTATTTTGTCCTTCATTAGCTTGTTCTTTTAGGCCTGGAGTATATGACTGATTTTAGAAGATTTTGGTGTGGTACTCAAATATATTTAATGTTTTTAAAAAACAATCTGTGATTAGCTAGAATGAGTCAATATATTAAGTTACTGTTTTACAGTAGGATCTGCTGAGTCAGCTGTAGTGTTTGGAAACCCTCAGATGACTGTTACTGGTCTAAACTTTCCTTACCTTTCTTTTGCTATTTTTAGGCCCCGCTGTGGTTCCTCACCAGTATTATGGAGTCACTCCCTGGGGAGTCTACCCTGCCAGTCTTTTTCAGCAGCAAGCCGCTGCCGCTGCTGCAGCAACTAATTCTGCTAATCAGCAGACTACCCCCCAGGCTCAGCAAGGGCAGCAGCAGGTAAATGTCAGCAAGTCTCACCCCAATTAAGTGTGAATGGTTGTTACTGTATATAATTAAAGGTGATGTTGCTCCTAATGGAGGAACACTGAGTGAGTGGGTGAGTTCCCTCTTGTGTGTGTTACTGAGTGGAGGCTCAGACATCTTTGTGCTTACTGAGTGCCTATTATGTATCAGATCCTTGGTCAGTATAACTAGGTGAGATCATGATATTACATACGAGAAAACTGCTGAGAGGACTGTCCAGTTAAGGGTACATAGTTAGCAAGTGACTGAGTATTCACACTGATAGTAAAATTTTCTTTCTGCTATACTGTAGCGTCCTTCTAAACAATTCCAACATCACTTCGGGCTCTCTTACAAGTAGCTTGCTATGGGAGGTACTCGTTTTTCAGACTGCTTATTGATAACAGCTGTTGAATTGGATATAAATCTTTAAACCTATTGTATTTGTTTTAACTTTTAGTAATAATAGCTTTTTAACTGAGTTGGTAAAGGTTGTTTAGCTGCAAAACTTAAGTATGTCTTTTTATTTAAAACAGGCCATTTTCTTCTACTTACTAGAATAATACCTATTTATTGCTGAACAGTGTGGTGAATTCGAAAACTCAGAGAAAAAAAAATCACTCTAAATCCTCATGTCAGAAAAAAAAGAATATCAATGTTTGGTATCTGTCATTCCAGCCTTATTATTTATTTAATTTCAAAATTAGAATTATGGTGTCCATATGATTTGGATCCTGTTTTTACACTTTTTCAAGTTATTTGATGTTCTTTTTAGTAACATTTACCAGCTGATGCTAGTAGCTTTGGCAGCACATATACTAAAAATTGTAACAACACAGAGAAGATCAGCATGATCCTTGCTCAAGGATGATAAGAAAATTAGAGAAGTGGTCCATATTAAAAAAAAAATTACCAGCTATATTTAAATCTATCAGAGAGTATCCCCTACTTTACTTTTTACCAGTTCATTTTTATTTGATATTTAACTTAGCAATATTTTTGTGTTATAAATAAGACTGATTAATATCCTTTACATAAGTCCATGATTATTTCCGTGGAATAAATTCCTAGAAACAGACTTACTTTTTTGAGTAGCTAAAATGAGCATTTAAGCTTTTGATATGTGCTGCAAGTTAAGGCTGTCTTTTGAGGCAAAATGACCATGCTCATGTATGTACGTAAGATTCAAACAATGGTCCTTTTTTTTTTTTATCAGTCTCACCAAGAGAGTGTTTAATTTTTTAGATCCCACAAAATTACAGGAAAAACACAGAGGTCTTAAAATTCTAGCTAGTTTATCTTGGTCAGTTTGTCAATAGTAAGGTGATTTTTTGGGAAGCTAATGTATGATTTTTCTTTGCTATAGATGCCATTCTAGTACCAGGTATATAAGGGAATTCAGCAGATAATTTGCTGACAGAAAGGGTGATCTCTGTTAATGAATTTCTTAATAGCTACTCTGTATAGTCAGTATTTATGTGATCTTTGTTGTTGAGTGGCTGCCAAATCATTGTGTATTTAAAAGACTGAAGTAATAACCATGTTTTAAAATTATCTCTAATAGAATGAACAAGAAAAATAGTAATAAGTAGTTCCTATTGAAAGCTTTCTGTTTAAAGCTAATGGCTCTGTATATGATTTCTGTTTACTTACTCTAATTCTGGTAGATTATATGACTTCCCATCATAAGATTAAGGAAATAGAATTTGTGTGCCCAAGGTAACACAGATACTATATTTTTAAGATTTGAGAACAAGTGTGTACTTTCACAACTTGTCCTATTTTCTGATCATATTGTGATGTCTGGAGTTAATAGAAGACCTGAGATTTGGTCTTTGTTCTGCTACTAACTGGTTGCAACTAGGGTAAGTTGTATAACCTCTCTAAATCTAGATGCCTTAGCTATAATATTGGACTGATAATTATTTGCATTTTAGAGTTTTCTCACATCTGCAATTAGAAAACCTATTATGGAAAAACTGTTAGCATTACTCTTTAATAAACAGCCATATTTCAGTTCCAGTGTTATTTTTGCCAGTTTCTGCCTTTAGTTTTAGGAAAATATGATTTTCTTGGTGAACTCCTTTGTCTTGGTCATGGAAATGAGAGGCCCTTATAAAACTTTTTTTTGGCCTTTACATTTTATCAGAAAACATTTGTTATGTTCTAGGCACCCTAACTATTCCAAATCTAATTGTTGGAACTTTTGGTAGAGTCACTGACATTCCAGCCACTCCATCTTCCTTCTGATACCTTTTTCATCCTTCTCAAAGGTTCCTTCCACATCTGATAAAAGTTTTTTCTTTTTCTATTTCAAGAAAAAATCCTGGGTGTTAGGCCGAATCCAACACAGGTAGTAAACTTGGTGGTGATTTGGTGTTGGATATTGTATTTTGAGGCAGAAGAGCTTTGAATGGTTTGTGAACTTCCTAGATTAGAGGGACTATATAGATGATGATTCTGCCAAGCATCATGAACTACAGAAGTATGGATGATTATTAAAATATCCCCATTGAGTATCTTCTTGCTTATTAATTATTGGTAGATTTCAAATGGTTTAAATCAGTACATTAAGTACCTTTGTAAAGAAATGTAAATTTGAGAGTTTTTGCATCATAGACAGGTAGTAAACTAACTCCTAATCTAGTATTTTACAAATATATACACAGTCATTTTTATTGAGTTTATTACATATTAAAATGTTACTTGTGAAATTTCATTAATTTGTTTCTGTAAAATCCAGACTTGACAGCTATTGATGAAATTGAAATACACGAAAATTGGCAGCTGACTTAAGAACTTTGATTTATCAAGCACCATACAAGAAGGAAATAAGTTGCTCTCCTCAATTAAAACAGGACTCAATAGCTGGACTACCCCTGTCTTCAGGCACCTTGTACATTCCCCTGCCTCTGACCTTTCACAAAACCTCTAAGCAGACATAAACCTAGTTTATTATACTGTACAAAAATGCTGCTTTCATTGTTTTATTAGAATTTATTCTTGAACTATTAGTATTGCCATGTTTCTGTGTATGCTGTTAACTTTTCCTACAGTGAGAGCTCTTTAGGGTTATAGGTTAGGCATCTCCTATGTCTTGCCTCAAACACTTAGCCTGTGCACAATCTCCCTTGATTCTTCTATGTAGACTGAAGCACTCTTCAGTCTTACTAGATTCTTTAGGTCACAAACAGAAATAAATTGCCCAGTATTTTGATAGGAATTAGTTACTGGTTACTGATTATCTCTTGGTTACAAGGTATTGTGCCTTGCAGACATTAATGATCCCAACAAGCCTGGAACATCAGCGTTTATTCTCACCACTTTTACAAATAAGGAAGTAAGAAACTTCAGGTAAATTAAGTGTCTATACATCTGTTCCTGCCAGTATGGACAGTGTAGTTCACTTTATGCCCATTTAATAAACATTTGATTGTTACTGATATTTCTCTTTAAATTTTTTATCAAATGGTACCAAGAATAATCTGTACCCAGGTTCTTGACCACATATCTTTTATGACTAGCAGAGTAATAGTGAAAGTGATAAGAACATTACCTTTGAAAACATTGCAAAATGCATTGTTTATAAACTTTGGTAATTTTAGCCTTGGTCTGTGGGTTTTGCATTTTTACTTGATTTGGGTTGTATAGATCTTGTGGTCAGAATTCAGAATAGAATTCAAGAGGATTAAAAATTCAGAATTCAATAGGAGCATTCAGAATAAGAATGATTACCAGAATTTTGATACTATGTTTCATTAATAAAAAGTAGATCCTTTATCACAGTGGCAGAACTGGTATTCTGCACTGAAATGTCAGTGTTCTTGACTAATACTCATCTCCATTTAGATTGCTGTATGTTGTGGAATTTATGAGAGGAGAAATAGAAACAGGTCAGAAGCCTCCTAAATCAAATCTGGTGAGCTCATTTGGGGCCATTTGGGCCTTGATGAATGGGAATAGTGTTACAGGGTAGAGAAAATGTTCTCATATTCCATAAAGAAAATACAACCTCTTTTTGTGTTTTTTCTTTTAGACACAGATATTTCAAATTAATTATGTGGGTACATTACCTCTTCATCCTTTCTAAACTCCCTTCCCCACTCCATCGTATTCTTTCTTCTTCACTCACTTTTTGTCAGAGCGATGACAGAATATTATAGAGTTACTTCTTATTGTCTGTCTGTTCACTAGAACACAAGCTCCAAGAGGGCTGAAGCTTTGTTCATCCCTAGTACCTGCCAGATGGTAGGCATTAAGTGTTTGATTAATGAATGAGTCGTCACTTTTATATGCTTTTGGCTGCTTCCAAAGGTAGTATGTTTAAAACAAGAGTGGTAGAATGAGATATCACTATATGAAATGGTGCTTATTGAATTTAAATTTATATCCTAACAGCCATGCCATATAAAAACCATTATAGGAAAAGTAGCTTATGACCATCAATTTTTAAGTCAACCCAACTTAAGCACATTGTGGGTCTTAGATATTTCTAATGAGAAGAAAGTGGTTGATTTATTTCTATCTCCCAGGTTCTCCGTGGAGGAGCCAGCCAGCGTCCTTTGACCCCAAATCAGAACCAGCAGGGGCAGCAAACAGATCCACTAGTGGCAGCTGCAGCAGTGAATTCTGCCCTTGCCTTTGGACAAGGATTGGCTGCAGGCATGCCAGGTGAGGCTGCATTGTTGCTCCTAATACTTTGAGAAAGAAAATATCTTCTTGTTGGTGGGGATTCAGAGAGCAGGAATTACTTTCAGCTTGCTTATACTTGTCATGATTTGGGGACTGGCAAGGAAGACATACACTTGCCCTCACTTAGACCATAGTTCGTTGATGAGAGCACCTAATTGTTCTGAGCCAGTTTTAATCGTACATATTGGGGATTGTACATAAAGCTTGGAATATGCTATTTTCACTTGATAATGATCTATTTTCTCCCTCAGGATTAGGGATTGAAGGGGAGTGGTCAGGCTATTGCAACATCACACCAAGGCTTTAGTCTTTACACTGATGTCTTTGAATAGTATTGTTAGGAAGAAATTCCTCATATTCTTTGATGGGGTCATCCCTTACATTTCTAGGGTTTCTTCCAAACCAGTAGTAGAGGTGCTTTGTAACTGCTTAGCTACGATTGATACACACACATACACATATCTTGAATACATTTTATTCTTGGCTCATTATCACCTAGTCCTATTCTTTGCATGGGTTAGATGTAGTTTGAGGTTCTTCCTTAGACACAGGTCCTTGTGAGACCTCAGCTTAAGTTTTTGGATTTTCACTGACCATGGATCATAGCCAAATTAACTGATCTGTTTATGAATTCACTGAGTAACTTTAACTGGAATCATATCTGTTTTGTTAGCTACTAAGTGTTTGTGTTTTATTAGGAAGTTACCTGTAATTTTTCCAATGACTCAGTAGGATTTGGAGACACTGTCTCATATGATATTAAAAAATCGTGTTCATTGAAACCCGTCTATGCTTTTGCTGCTAACTTGCAGGCTATTTGTGCTTAGACTATTATGTAGTATGAAAGTACTATGATTGTTGTAATGAATTATACCTGCTGTTACTTGTGTGGACAAGAAGACAAAAAATTGTCAGTGCAAGTGAAAGACCTATACCCTGAAAACTACAAGACACTCTTAAAAGAAATTAAAGAGGACACTAATAAATGGAAATTCATCCCATGCTCTTGGGTAGGAAGAATTAATATTGTCAAAATGGTTATCCTGCCTAAAGCAATCTACATCTTCAATGCAATCCCTATGAAAATACCGTTAGCATTCTTCAACTAACTGGAACAAATAGTTCTAAAATTCATATGGAACCACAAAAGACCCCAAATAGCCAAAACAATCCTAAGAAGGAAGAATAAAGCAGGGGGCATCTTGCTTCCCAACTTCAAGCTCTACTACAAAGCCATAGTAATCAAGATAATTTGGTTCTGGCAACACAAGAACAGACCCATAGACCAGTGGAGCAGAATAGAGAGTCCAGACATTATCTCAAGCATATATGGTCAATTAATATATGAAAAAGGAGCCATGAATATACAATGTGGAAATGACAGCCTCTTCAACAGCTGGTATTGGCAAAACTGGACAGCTACATGTAAGAAAATGAAACTGGATCACTGTCTAACTCCATACACAAAAATAAACTCAAAATGGCTCAAAGACCTGAATTAAGTCATGAAACCAGAAAAATCTTAGAAGACAACATAGGCAAAACTCTTGAATATAAACATGAGCAAATTCTTCAAGAACATATCTCCTCGGCAAGGGAAACAAAAGCAAAAATGAACAAGTGAGACTATATCAAACTAAAAAGCTTCTGTACAGCAAAGGACACCATCAATAGAACAAAAAGGCATCCTACAGTATGGGAGAATATCTTCATAAATGACATATCCGATAAGGGGTTGACATCCAAATTACATAGAGAGCTCATGCGCCTCAACAAACAAAAAGCAAATAATCCAGTTAAAAATGGCAGAGGATCTGAACAGATGCTTCTCCAAAGAAGAAATTCAGATGGCCAACAGGCACATGAAAAGATGCTCCACATCTCTAATTATCAGAGAAGTGCAAATTAAACCACTATGAGATATCACCTCACACCAGTTAGGATGGCCACCATCCAAAAGACAAACAACAACAAACGCTGGTGACAATGTGGAGAAAGGGGAACCGTCCTACACTGCTAGTGGAAATGTAAATTAGTTCAACCATTGTGGAAGCAGTATGGAGGTTCCTCAAAAAACTCAAAACAGAAATACCATTTGACCCAGGAATTCTACTCCTAGGAATTTGCCCTAAGAATGCAGGAGTCCACTTTGGAAAAGACATATGCACCCCTATGTTTATTGCAGCACTATTTACAATAGCGAAAAATGGAAGCAACATAAGCGTCCATCAGTAGATGAATGGATAAAGAAGAGGTGGTACATATACACAATGGAATATTATTCAGCCATAAGAAGAAGAAAAATCCTACCATTTGCAACAACATGGATGGAACTAGAGGGTATAATGCTCAGTGAAATAAGCCAGGTGGAGAAAGACAAGTACCAAATGTTTTCACTCATCTGTGGAGTATAAGAACAAAGAAAAAACTGAATGAACAAAATAGCAGCAGACTCACAGAACCCAAGAATGGACTAACAGTTAACAAAGAGAAAGGGACTGGGAAAGATGGGTGGGAAGGGAGGGATAAGGGGAATAAGGGGCATTATGATTAGCACACATAATGTAGTGGGGGGCACAGGAAAGGCAGTATTGCACAGAGAAGACAAATAGTGACTCTACAGCATCTTACTACGCTGATGGACAGTGACTGTAATGGGGTATGTGGTGGGGACTTGATAATGGGGGGAATCTAGTAACCACAATGTTTTTGTATATTGTATTTTTATTTGTAATTGTATATTAATGATAACAAAATAAAAAAAAATTGTCAGTGTATGATTGCTGGTTATACGCCTTGGTTAGCACTTTGGAGAGCACAAGTTTTTCCTCATCCTTCCAAATTCCCTTTCTAGCACTTAGTGGATGGTAAATAACACCGCTCCTTATTGCACCAGATACCATCTTTTAATCTTCACAGTAATTGTACGAGGCAGGTGTTGGTATTATCTTTGCTTTACAGATGAGGAAATGGCTACCCAGAGATTCAGGATTATATGGCTAACTGGTGAAGCCAGGTAAATCTACGTCTGTCTGTCCCCAAAGCTGAGTTTGTGATTATTCATAATATGCTCATGCCCAGAGGACATTTTTGGTTTCATATGTATTTACATGTTGGTTTGATATTCTCAGGTTATCCAGTTTTGGCTCCTGCTGCTTACTATGACCAAACTGGTGCTCTTGTCGTGAATGCTGGAGCAAGAAATGGTCTTGGAGCTCCTGTTCGACTGGTAGCTCCTGCCCCAGTCATCATTAGTTCCTCAGCCGCACAAGCAGGTGAGCTCATATTTAATGGACTCATGTCAGAGATGTAAAAGGGGTAGTGAATGGTATTCCTAAAATATGTTCAGGTACACTTTATATGACAAATCTCAATATAGCAATTCTACCTTGTGATACTTAGAATCAGAAGCAGCAAGTGACCTTGATAGATTCTTATTCTGTTGACAACATGTACCAGCTGGTTAGCAGCAAAGACCTGCTCCACTGTGAACATAGGAAGTTGGACTACTCACACAGAATGGCACTGTTGGCCAAAGTCCAAGGCTAATTACACAGAAACCCATGTCATTGTTTTAACATAATGTGTTTTTTTTTTGGCTTGTGTATGTGTGTGTGTGTTATTTTGGTGGGTTGGGTGCAGGGATGGAGGTAGTAGAAGGGGATGGTGAGAAGTACAGTACAATAAATTTTCGTGGGGGCAGGAATAGGTTTTTATTTTAAGCTGTATGTATGTGTGTATAAACATGTATGTCTATATATACGTATATGTATTTTTTTCCTCTTTCAGTTAGGAACAGTGGTGAGAACATCTAGAAGAGAGCAGTACGCTTAAGTATCTTAGGAATTTTGAAGCCTTAGTATGTGGTTGGCAGTGGTTCTGGGAGGATATCCTTAATAGAGATACTTGTAGAATCTGAGATTTTAGGAAGTAGTTATATTTAAAATGGGTATATTTGATATCTGTACCTGTTTTAAACAACAGATTCTTCAAAGCTACCAACATAGTGAATTTGGCTCCAGTGGTATTTTAACTTCAAATTGAAAATAGCAATAGAAAGTAGAAGCTTCAGATGAAGGGATGAAAGAGAGTTGTATAGTTCTTTGCAAGGTTTGTGTCTGCTCTGAAAAGATAGGGCTGCATTAAAAGGTTTTCAAAAGGATAACAATGTAGTTTGGAAATGTGGCCAGTCCCTTTCATAGCCAAATGGTTTGCTTTCTTCTTCATAGCTGTTGCAGCGGCCGCAGCTTCAGCAAATGGAGCAGCCGGTGGTCTTGCTGGAACAACAAATGGACCATTTCGCCCTTTAGGAACCCAGCAGCCTCAGCCCCAGCCCCAGCAGCAGCCCAATAACAACCTGGCATCCAGCTCTTTCTATGGCAACAACTCTCTGAGCAGCAATTCGCAGAGCAGCTCCCTCTTCTCCCAGGGCTCTGCCCAGCCTGCCAACACATCTTTGGGATTTGGAAGTAGCAGTTCTCTCGGCGCCACCCTGGGATCAGCTCTTGGAGGGTTTGGAACAGCAGGTAGAAATCAGACTGATGTGCTGTTAAACTGTTTTTAATTATTTTTATAATCTTTATGGAACACTGATAAGGCATGGAACCCTGGACAGATACCCCAGGCAGATCTGGGCTGAACTCCATGGGAATTCAGCCACCCACATATCTTTGAGATGATGGACTATTAATATTAAAATGAAGTTATACAGTTGGGGCCTACTTCAGTTCTATATTCATGTTGCTACTTATTTATACTCACATAGTCGATTTGTTTCAGGGATTAAAAAACCAGGGAGATTTTTGCAGACATTGGGAAGAATGTGGAGGGAAGTACAGAAATGTGGATGTTAAAAACTGCAGGAGGAGGACTTACTTATCAGGGACCTCAGGGGAATGAACTCCATAATCTGCAGTCCTTAAAGAGTCATTTTCTTCAGTCTTTTGAGAAGAATTAAGGTGGATAATCATAGAAAAGTGAAAGCAAAGAAATTAGATCAAGATACTTTATGTTTTGATGGGAGAAATAAGCAGGAAAGTAGTAAGGTAAACATGGGATAATTGCAGTGTTTGTAAAACAATGTGATTTGAAAACAGAAGGGCATGTTTGAGAGAAAATATCTTAAATTGGAATTGGGGGCTAGTAATAACTCTTGATTGAATCCGTCTTGTGTAGCGGGTGGGGTGATACCCCATTTACAAATCTTTTTTTCTGTACTCCATTTTTCTATTACAACTTTTGGGTTGATGAAAGGCATTCTTTCTAGCCCATTTTCTTTCACCTTTTCCATAGCTTATGTGGCCATCAGAGCTTTTTAATCCACCCCAACCCCATAATATGTAACACAGAAGGAAGGTAAATTAGCAAAAGTGTGATGGTTTGAACAAAAGTTTCATGTTAACGTGAGCCATGTCCTCTTTATTACTTTATCTGCCCCTAGAATTGCCACATGAACAGTTAGGCTGTCTCTGCTGACAAATTTGCGGTGGTAAGGAGTCTGGATCAAAGTGTTAGGAACAGGTCACTAGGCTTGTTCTTCGAAGAACAGGCCTGTTCTTATCTGCATTGTTTTAATTCCATTTTAGTTGCAAACTCCAACACTGGCAGTGGCTCCCGCCGTGACTCCCTGACTGGCAGCAGTGACCTTTATAAGAGGACATCGAGCAGCTTGACCCCCATTGGACACAGTTTTTATAACGGCCTTAGCTTTTCCTCCTCTCCTGGACCCGTGGGCATGCCTCTCCCTAGTCAGGGACCAGGACATTCACAGACACCACCTCCTTCCCTCTCTTCACATGGATCCTCTTCAAGCTTAAACCTGGGTAAGAACCATTACTCTAACACCACCTTGAACTCTAGAATCTTGCCACTGATGACATTAGAAGTACTTTGCATAAGCAAAGGACAGTCCCTTTATCCTAAAAGTCTCCTGGGTATTTTATGCCTTCCTTAAGTACCTCATATTATTTAGGCTGTACCTAGATAGCATAGCAGTTTTGAATTTATTAAAGTTTGGGTGCATCCCCTGTATATTCACTTCAGCTTTAGTATGAACATCTTTTCCTTTGGCTACATATGTGAGTCTTTTATTATAAACACAGTACAGATGCATTTTAAGTAAATCTGGGGAACACTGACATAGAGAAAAAGAATGTATATTCACCTAGTATCACCACTGACATATCACCCCAATTAATATTTTTACTTATTTTTCAGACCTCCCACCATGTATACATTTAATATCCCAATTTTTCACATAAAGCATTTTATTAAAAAATTTTTGCTAGATTCCTAAAAAATACTTTGTGTATACATTATTAAAGTATCATAGTATGTGAAAAAGTGTAGACATATATTTCCCAGTTCTATGTTTAGGTTGTATGTATGGGATTTTTTAATGTTAGTATCTAGACCCTAGAAAATGAGGGAAAAGAGGATTCTAAGTATTGTAAGAATGAAGAGAAACTTGTATTAACACTTTGGGTAGCAAATTTCTAAATCATACAAGATTCAGGAGATGGTGTATACTCCCTTTCCCCAGTTATTTATTGAGTTTGAATTTTGAAGTACTGATAGGTGTTTTAAATGGGGAAAGTTGAGGCATTGAATCAAAGTGACCATGTAATTTGTTATGCTACCCAGGACACTTGAGAGTAAGTGGGGGTGCTGTTAATAACTACTCTGTGATGACAGGCCTACATAAAGACGGTCCCAGGAAAAGTCATCATGTATGGTTGCTTTGTCTACAAGATTCTGTCTTTCCTTCTTGCTTTCTTTTTTTAATCCTCATTATTATTACTGTTTTTAAGATTAAGGCTTTTTTTGTTAGGAATAGTTTTAGGTTCATAGCAAAATTGAGAGGAAAGTACAGAGATTTCCTTTGTACCCTCTGCCCCACACATGTATCGCTTTCCCGATTATCAGTATTCCTCACCAGAGTAATACCCTTTGTTACGTCTGAGGAACCTACATTGACACATTCTGACATTTATAGTTTATGTAGAATTTTTTCAGTTTTTAACCAGCAAGATTAAAAGTGGCTTCATAGACTCAGAAATGAGGACTAATTTGGAAAGATAAAAATCAGAAAAAGTTGTAAAGTGGATAGGATAATATAGTTACTATTCTAGAACAAAGAGTGCTATCTTTGAGTTTTAAGGCAAAACATATACATATTTGTATATGTGTGTATTATATACATATACATATTTGTATATGTGTGTATCCTGAAATTTCACATGGTAAGAACTGTAGTTGTTGAACTCATCATCTCAGGTTATATATGGACATTACTATAGAAAAGTTGTAGATATTCCAGGTTGGTAAATCTATATTGGATAGATAAGGGAATGATGTACATTGCACAATACAATAGTGTTTCCTAGTGACAGGTTGCCTGGCTTTGAAGTCATTGCAAAATTTTGAGGGTATATAAAACTCCCAGTTTAGAATGTAGGTGGAAGGAACTAACATATTTTAAGTATTTATTACCAACTGCTATTTTTGGGTGCTGTACATATAATTCTGGAAGGTATAGGTATAATGCCCATGATAAAGAAATGAGAAAACAGACTTAAATATCTTGCCTAGATCTTCATATATCTGAAAGATACAGAGTCACCCCTTTTTGGCTCCAGAGTATTGCAATGTCAGTATATATGCTGTCACACGATGTGCCCAGTATATCTTTAAACCAATGCATTATCAGATCCAGAAATCTTACCTTTAAATTCCTTGATTTAAACATTTAAACTGTGTTAGCTCATACCAAGCACTAAACAAACTAAATCTGCAAACATTCTTTGTAAAGAGCCAGATAGCAAATATTTTAGACTCGTAGGTCAGATGGTCTCCATAGTGAATATTCAGCTTTTCTGTTGAAGTGGGAAAGTAGTCCACTGACAAACCATAAATGAATGTGTACCTTCTTCCGATAAAACTATAAAAACAGGTGGCAGGCCAGATTTGTCCTGTGGACTGTAGCTTGTCAACCTCTGACTAAATGCTGTGGCTCTTGGTGTTTGAAAATGGAGCTGGAAACATTATTTGCATGCATGGTGCCTTTCCTCTTTCCAATATACCAGTAATTTAATGAAATACTTCATAATTCATGTTTCCCCTGTGAAGTAGGAAATAACCATTGGTGTGAGTTATTTCCTATTTTAATGGTTCTTACTGTCTGCTTAGTTTGTTAACATACCTTCCCTTTTAAAAAAGATTTGCCTTGTTTAAGCAATTGAACTGTATATATTTGCATTGGATTTCCATTGGTACATGTACTATGTAAATCATACCTGTCACTCCTGAGGAACTTTGTGTCTTGATAGGTAGAACTTTGTCTCAGCTTAGTTTCCTTGAGAAAAGGGTTCTTGTTTGCTTTAGTTTTAGATAAAATAGAGGTGTGGTAATTTGTTTCTAACAGTGTCCGTATAAATCCTTAGACATTTTGGTGCAAGAGGCTTAACATTTTTTTACCAAATACATACTGGGCCGCACCTGATATAGCTTCTACTATTAATACTACTTCATTACTGCCACACCATCAACTCCTGGGTCACTAACAATTATACTACGCATTCGTTCATTGTACTCATTGTATTCATTCATTGTGTTAAATACTCAAATAACTATTCTGTAAAGGGAAACTTAAACTCAGCATGATGTAATGACTTTCATAATCCACACAAGTAAGTTTTGGAACACACATTCCAGCTTATCTCTTATTATCCCAGATATATTATCTAATATAAAATATTAGAATATTTTTATACCCCCAATAAGGTTCCTCATGACCAGTTGTAATTAATCCTCATTCACACCCTTAGCCCCAATCAACCACTGATGTAATTTCTGTTTTCTCAAAATTTGCCTTTTCTGGACATTTCATATAAATGGAGCCATACAGTATGTGATCTTTCATGTGTGGCTTTTTTCTTTCTCATGTTTTTGAGATTTCATCCATGATGTAATATGTGTCAGTAGTTTGTCCCATTTTATTGCTGAATTGTCTTCCATTTTATGTATATATAACACATTTTGTCTAACCACTCACAGTTGAAGGAAGTTTGTTGATTACTGTTTTTGACTATTAGAAATAATGCTGCTGTGAACATTTGCATGCAAGTCTTTTCTGTGGCACATTTTAATTTCTTCAGTAGTAGAATTGCTGAATTGTATGTTATTTTATGTTAAACTTTTTGAGGAACTGCCCAACTTTTTCAAGTTGGTACACCATTTTACATTCCCACCAGCAGTGTATGAGGACTCTAATTTCTCTACATCCTCACTAATATTTGTTCTTCCTTGTCTTAATATAGCTATTCTAATGGGTATGAAATGGTATGTCATTGTTGTTTCAATTTCCATTTCCCTAATGACTAATGATGTTGAGCATCTTGTCATGTGTTTATTAACCATTTGTGTATCTTCTGTGACTTGTCTGCTCATATTTTTGCCCATTTTTTTGGGTTGTTTGTCTTATTTTGAGTCGTAAGGTTTTTTTTCACGTATTCTGGATACAAGCCCTTCATCAGGTATGTTTTGCATATATTTTCTTCTGGTTATTTGCTTATCCTTTTTTAAGTGGCGTCTTTTGAAGTGCAATAGTTCTTAATTTTGATGATATTTGGTTTATCCCGCTTTCTGGTATGGAAATCTTTGCTCTGTTCTTAAAGATTTTCTCCTGTGTTTTGTTCTAAAAGTTTTATTGTTTTAGCTCTTAGATAGATTTAAGTCTGTGATCCATTCTGAGTTAAATTAACTTTGTGGTGTATCCTGTGAGGTGATGGTTCATTTTTTGCATGCACCATTTTGCTCACGAAAGTTTTGAAAATTTCATAGAATAGGCCTTACACTCCTTTGCCTTTTTTCCTACATATTTAATTTTTTTTTTTAGCTATCACGAATGCAAACTATTTTCTAGTTTTGTTTTTGGATTATTGCTTGTTTGTAGAAAAACAATTTTTTTTGTATATTCTGCAGATTTGTTGTACTTACCTAATAGTTTTGGGTGGATTCCTTAGGATTCTCTCTGTCAAATCATGTCACCTGTGAATAACTGTTTTCCAGTCTGGTTGCCTTTTATTTTTCTAGCCTGATTGCACTGGCTAAAACTGGAACTTAACAGTACTGTATTAAGTAGAAGAGAGGAGAACACATATCCTTGCCCTCCCTGTTCCTGATCTTGAAGATAAAGTGTTCCTCTTTTAAATGTGATCTCTATAGGCTTTTCATAGACTCCCTGTATCAGGTTAAGTTCCCTTTTATTCCAAATTTGCAAGTTTGTCACAAAAGTGTTTTGGATTTTGTTATATATTTTCTTTGTTTATTAATGATCATGCGGTTTTATCCTTTATTCTATGAATATGTGTATAGTAGGTATATAACAATATGTACATTATTGTTCTATGATTATGTTACATTCATTTTTTTTGGGGGGGGTGGGAGGTGTTAATCCAACCTTGCATTCCAGGGATAAACTCCACTTGATCATGTTGGGTTTGGCTTGTTAAAATTTTTGTTAAATATTTTTGCATCTATATTCATAAAGGTATCTGTCATTTTCCTTTCTTGTAATGTCTTTGTTTGATTTGTTGAACCTGCGTGATACTGACCTTATAATGTAGGTTGGGAAATGTGCTACCCCCTCTCTATTTTCTGGGGGAGTTTGTCAACAGTGAAGCCGTCCTGCTGGGTGTTGACTTTTGGGAATTTTTTAGTTACTAGTTCAATTTCTTTATGTCTTATAGATTCAGATTTTCCATTTCTTCTTGAGTCAGTTTTGTTAATTTGTGACTTTCTAGGAATTTGCCTATTTCATCTA